TTTTAAAACATATTTACAAAGAAATAGCTTAATAGGTTACAGCTACCTTTACGGTTATTGCAATTCCTAGTAAAGATGAGTTGAGCAGCATTAAAATAAACTAAACTTATAAAGATTGTAACCTAAAGAGGCTGCTTTCTGTTTCAGTCCCTTCAGTTAGGTTTGGAGGTTATCTTTTACACTGCATACCACCCTCCTTCCTGTGCTAGATAAACCTGAATAAGTTTGTCAGTGTCCCAATTGTTTTAAATGTTCTATTCATTGGTTTAACTATTTGAATATTTTTCCTAAGTAGGTATTTCCTTGTACCTACTTAATTCATGATAAAGATTAATATGCATTCGCCATCCAGTACTTCTTTTTGTGTCCCACTGCAGTATTTCAGTCTTACTTTATAGAGCAGATGATTGCTGTCATGTTCTAGAGAAGTTGTATTCAACTAAAATGGCTGGTATCCAAACTGCAGGAATTTACTTCATTATAACTAGATTCAGTCCAGGCTCAAAGTATGCAGGTCAGAGTGATGTAATCGTAACCTGTGTTTGTATGACCTTTTAGCATTTAGATAGTTTGCTGGTATGTAGATCTGTGCACCTGTTTATGTATCAGAGTGAGAATCATTTCACAATTATTTGTGAGGACTAAAGTGAGGACATTTTGCTGGTCCCCACTACCCTTTTTGCTGACAGGTTTAGAACCAAGATGCGGTTAGGGTTTCACTGGTAATAGTATAGCTCAGGCATTCCCAAAGTCGGGCCTCAAGGCCCCCTGTCCTGCAGGTTTTATAGGTTTCCTTGCTCCAGCATAGCTGATTTTAATTGAAAGCTGATTAACAGGCTTTTGGTCTACTGCAGTCCTTATAACCAGCTGTGCTGAAGCAGAGAAACCTCTAAAACCTGCAGGACAGGGGGCCTTGAGGACCGAGCTTGGGAATGCCTGGTTTAGCTCATTTTCCTTCTAATGCCTGACAGTTTCACAGATGGTTTTTAACTAACTGAGTTCTTTGTCAATTTGGGTTTGGGCATAGAAAGGGTTAAAATTATTGAATGAAATTGAAGTCAAATGGATATGCAACATATAGCAAGATAAGATTGTTTGGATGTATGAGTGGCCATGTCTTTGTTCCTAGGAATATGCTACACTGTGGGGGCTTTGCGTTCTCACCGATAATGTAGAAACACTAACTTTCCACATAGACCAGTCAAAAAAGACCAAACTTGGTAGTGTTGATCCCCTTTTAGTTCCAGTGAAATGTTGACATTATCAAAGCCTGAGAACAGGAAGTCAATTTTTCCAGTTGCAATGGTTGCCTTCTGTTCTACCTGACCTGATCCAGTGCTTGTAAGGACCAAGAACTGTTCCTCATGAGAAGCTCTCCTTTTTGGGTTGGTGGTTACATTAAGAACGAAGGTGTTAACTGAGTTTACCGGTAGGTTAAGTTTAGGGTAAATATGTGTTGGTACTGTAATGGTTAGGATAAGGGGCTGGGTCAGGCCATACAAATGAATAGGAAAAGAATGGAAGTCAATGGAAAGTGTGTGTAGATGTGGGCGAAGAAATGAGAATATCACAACTCTTTCATAGTTGGGAGAATAGTGAAAACTGTAGAAGGTCCACAACCCACAGAGAGCAGCAAATGATAGGTGAACTCGGCCCCAGAGGGACCCAGCAGTCCTAGACAACCAGACAAAAGGCATCACCTCAGGAAGTCCCGCACAGAATCAGGTTGTTGGCAAGGAATAGCATCATACATCAAGACCCAGGACTTCTGTCTATATTGGTTTAATCAATGAAAATTTTATTTGATTGTGTTTTATTTGACATAAAACAAAAACACTGTTTTTTAGGTTAGGTAATACTTTAATCAATGAATAAGTAAATTTCTCCACTGTGAGATCAATTAAGTTAATCAATCAATACATATTTTATTAGTAAAAGGGCCACATAATTCGAAATTAATAGCTTGTGATGTATTTAAAAGGGACATGCAGCACAGCATTTTTCACACAAGGTTTCTCAAAAACCTAGTTTATATCGCCAAGAAAATAACACTTTGCCAAATCCTTCATGTGAATATATTTGATTAGAATAGAAAGCTCCACATTTCCCTGTGCAAATAGAACATTCCTCTGCAGGGAGCAGACTGTTGCACTCCTGAAACCAAACAACCCAACTTCCCACAAGCCTGTTTCACTACCCCTGACACTCAAAACCCAGAAAAATCAGCTGAAACACACTCGGGAATTTATTTTTGAAATCTCAACGATAAACTTTTTCAGGGTCTGACTGAGCCTGAAGTCTGAAACTGGAGATTTTGGATGTTTTGCAAGAGCTGACTGGAAGAACAACAGTCTGGGGAGGCTCGTGTGTATTTCTTGTACGATGTGATTTTTCTCAGTGTCACGTTGTTAAGAGAAATGTTTGAACCGCAGTACTACCCCACAGGCGGGTTTAACTCTTAGAACTTCTGCACCAACTAAAACATAAAAGAACAGAAAAAAAAACAGCCAGTAGATTTTAATATATGGAGTAATGTTGAAACATTAGCAAAAAGCAGGTATTATTTTCCTATACTTACATCTTTATTTTATTTTATTTTTTTGTGCTTCAGTCATTTTGGTAGCTTTATTTCCTCATCCATTTTATTCAACTTTATAGCTCATTTGTAATGCAAGCTTTTATTGTTAAAAATAAATTTTGAGCAACTATTTTATATGCCTACAAATGTAAAAGGAAATTGACTTTTTTATTTGAACATGCTCAGAAAGGCTGATTTGAAAGGTTAAAGGCCACAAAGTCCTATAGTATGAAACCAGACATAAAACACCCCCACAGAGGATAAAGTATGACAGCATTCATATAAATCACACAGGCTTTTATTCAAAATCTGTCTGGATAAATAAATTTAAAGCTGTTTCTTAAAAGAATCAACAGAATAAAGACAGGACAAGGTGAAGTTAACACAATCTGGGGGCCACAGCTCTCCTGGGATCTGAAGATGTATTCAGAGAATCATTAACTAAACTGTAGAGTTTAATATTTCCAAAAAAGAAAATTAAAAACAATCCATTGGATTTTGTTTCCAAGTTGGAAGACATTTCGCTTCCCATCCAAGAAGCTTTTTCAATTCAAAATGTCAGGAATAGCGTTGAGTTCGGGGTTTTATACAGTAGCCCAACAAAGCCTTGTTTTCGGTTCTGAGTTCTAGCTCCACTCCCACAGACTGCCACTCTGGGTCCCTGAGCAAGACCCTTAACCCCTGATTGCTCCCTGGGCGCCCCCCGATGGCAGCCCACTTCCAATTTTCTGGTCTTTTTGTTGCAGCTTGTCAGTAAGATCAAATCTATTGAATCTGTGAATATCACGTATTTCACAGACCTAAAATTTGTATCAAATAACGTTTTATACAGCATTGTTAGTTAAATTCTTATGATAAAGTGAAAAAGTGAGAAAAATATTTCAGTTTGGATTTTCTGATATAAATTTTGTAGGATTGTCTGTTGATTTGCAAATGTGTCTCAAGCAAGAAGCTAATGTTATGGAATGGAAAAGATTGGAAATCCTGGGGCTGGAGGATTCTGTCTGGTTGTTTGTGTCTTTTTTTCCCCAACAGTATTTCTTAGCGTGTCGTTTTAGACACCAACTAATCTGCTTTAACTGGGTTTTCAGACCTAAGCCTTTTCCTATCCTTAAGTCACACACTGTAATAACTTTTGTTTGTCCTCAATCTTTTTCTGTAAATGACTGCAACCAGTGAATCAATCGATTAATGACTGATTAACCAGAAAAGATTTTTCTGAAGACTGGGATTTGCAAGAGAAGTCAATGCCTCAAATATAATTTAGATATTAATAATTATTCAATTAATTGAACAATAATGTAAATTAAAAACATAAATTTAAGCATGCAAATACTATTTTACAGCAGTGTTTGACAACTCTGCTGAAATTGCATCCTTTAACAGCATTGAGTCAACTTTACGTTCCCTCAGAACCTGAAAAATCATATGTAGGGTTCCTCAAGGCTCCACTCTGGGCCCCTCCTATTCAATATCTACATGCTCTTTTTATCGCCTGAAGAACATTCCCAGTATTAAAGGACTAATGTCCAAGCAGGATATAGAAAAATGCATTCATGCATTTATCTTTAGTAGAACTGATTACTTCAACAATGTCTTCATAGGTTTGCCTAGTCCTACAGAAAGCTGCTGCCTGTATTTTCACTAGAACTAAGAAAGTAGAGCACATCTGCCCAGTTCTGAAGTCCTTCCACTGGCTTCCTGTAGCTCAGAGAATAGCCTTTAAAATCTGTTAGTCTATAAATCACTGAATGGATCAGCACCTCAATACATAACAGATTTGTTGTCAGAGTATGAACCTCCCAGACCACTCAGGTCTTCTAGTTCCAGCCTACTCTGTTCACCCAGAACTAGAACCAAACATGGAGACGCATCATTTAGTTCCTTTGCTCCATTTATCTGGAACAAACTCCCAGAAGACTGGAAAAGTGCTGAAAGCCTGGACAAAGTTAAAAACCCACTTGTTCAGAAATGCCTTTGACTAATGAAGTTATACTGTTAACTGAGGTATTATTAAAGATATTGTACGGGATTTTTGCAAATTTTTTAAAAGACCCACGCTCTCCACTTTAAAAAAGAAATGCAGATGCACAACCCTGTACCGGCTCTCGAGACGGAACATATATTTAATACATGTGAGAGCATTCATGAGTTGATGTTTGCATCGCTTAAACAAGCCTACTTTCTAAAACATTTGCAATTTTTCCATTATGTCAGATTCACCACCGGTAAGTTAAAATAGGAACTAGCATGTAGACTTATGTAAACATATCACTAGAATGACTGACAGTTAGGAGGACAGCTTATTTTGATAATCCACCTGGAAAAAGAACATCCTCCACTAAACCTTTAAAGTTGTGCCACAATTTAGTTTTACTATAAAAACAAGGAGTCGCAAAACTTTGGTACAGACAAATCGGTTGTTTAAAACATAAAATTTATTTCAATGTATGCAAGGAATTCCCAAATATTTACAGAACAATATACACATTACAGTTAAAAAAAATTCCAGGGTGTCCGCTATATAAAAAGCTGTCAAACACTGAATGTTGGAGTTAAATTTGATTAAGAGACGCTTTAGAAAGCTTCCTCCCTGCTGCCGCTGCTGCAAACTGTTTATTGGATGATGGCAGAAATTACACCGGCGCATTGATCTCGTAAAAGAGTCTTTAATCCAGTGTGCCTGCAGAAAAAAAAGAAGAAATAATTTTTGAATGAGTTAGAAATGTAAAACCGCACCGAAAAGGAGGTATCTGGACACTGAACTGATTTAATTTTTATCTGAACAAGACTTACCTTCCAGGAAAGCAAATTCATCTATAGCCTCAATAGCATTGTCTGTGGGAACAAAAAATTATATAAGTTTAATATTCTATATAACATCAGTAACAGATGGGTCTCCTACACTCTGCAAAATACCTTATAAAAGGCTTTAGCTAATTACAATTATCTGACATGATAAATGTATGCAAATTATCTTCAAACTACATTTGAAAAACAAAGAATGTGTCCTTGCGATAGCAAGAATTTATTAGCCTCTTCTAACAATTGTGTTTCACTGATTAAAAAAACATGCATTAAAAACAAGTTATTGCACTCTATGATATTCTAGTGGTATATTAGTTAAACTTATATTTTGAACAAGGAATGTAATATATTATTTGATCTATTAATGCAATGAAAATGCTTCCTGACGAAGAGCTTACCACACCTGGGGGTCAATCCAAAACTCCTATTTCTCTACAACACAGGTGTCAAACTGGTTCCAGAAAGGGCCGTGTGGATGCAGGTTTTCTTTCCAACCAAGCAATAGCAAACCAGACTCCATTCATCCCATCAAGTCATCATGTTCAGATTGGACTCCCTTGATGAGATGAATGAAGTCTGGTGTGCTATTGCTTGGTTGGAAAGAAAACCTGCAGCCACACGGCCCTTTCTGGAACCAGTTTGACACCCCTGCTCTACAGTATACAGAAACTACCAACATTACTGGAATGATTACACTGATGCAGCAGGCTATGCTGAAAACTCAGTACACAGATGGAAAACCCCAGTCCTTGATGGTGCGTGTTCATCTACTAACCCTGAAATCCCACATCCTCAGTAACCGCCCAACTCCACTAGGTTCTAGACTGCCTGCCCAAAGCAAAGCCTGCAGCCTTTATAATGAGGATAATTAGGATCGTACAAAAAGGGTTTATTCTCTACCTCCAAACTCAGATTCTTTTCATCCATGCCTGCGATAGGAATTTCTTTTGAGGTGGCGAGATGCGCTCTTGGAAGTTATTGTGACTTGATTTGATTAAACTTTTAAGCTTTTTAGTATAATATAAATATTTTGATCGAAATTAGAAGATTTCTTCCTGGTGTGTTGAAGTACCAATAGTTTGCATTAAATAATTTAAATAAAATGTCTTAGTTTTTTTGGGAATATGTGACAATAATGCTCTAATTTGTAGTTACCGATATGTTGTTACTATATTTTCATTTTCCTCCGTATTTTGACGGTGAAGGTTGGAGAAGATGTACGTGGACAATGACGTGCGGAGAAGTAGCGGTGGATGTGGAACAGTTCTCATTGATTAACATGACTGAGTAAGTGCTCCGCTAAACCTACTTGAGCGGGGTGGAGCGGAGCGGGGCGGTGTGGATGGATGTAGAATGTGGGGGTAAGATGTATCCCTGGTCAGGCAAGACCGACTTATATAACTTCCTCCTCAGCATTTAACAGAGTTCCACACAGTCCAACCAATCATCTTCTCCTTTTCTTCAATTCTAGCGTTTTTAATCAAGGAACAAGAGTTTGATACCAATACCTCTGTTGATTCTATGTGCAGATCAGTCTAGGCTTGGTATGCTTTGTTTTCCTAAATCATCATCATGGATTAACATCATTTCACACCTACCGGTACATAATATATGTTCTATCATGCATCTAGAGCTGAGGGACCAAATATCCACACAAACTTGTAACAGGACCCATAGTACTTTACAGAGTAATAATATTAGTCAATATAGATTATAATGATGCCGTTATAACAATGGATGTTTGTGACACTGAGCCTTAGTCTTCCTTAATCCATTTTCTTGACTTGAACCAAATATTATAAACATTCTTAGAGCTTCTTTAGAATGTAGTTTAAGAGTCTGTCAAAGTGTACTTGATGGAATGTAATGTAGTATGACCTTCCAGCAGCTAACTTTAGCTGCAAACAAAACTTTTCAATTAAATGATGGTTATTTTTAGGCTTATTATAATTTATTTTTGTGTTTTCAATGGTGTATTTACCACAGTGAATTCCCTCTCAGCGGTGGTGTGGAAAGAAAGAGGGAAAAGTCCAGAATCAAGTGTGAAAAAGCACAACAAAATATTTGATACCAGCAGGGACACGACTAGGACTCAGAATAGAATACGAGCGTTGGTGTTTTCTGAATTTGCAGCTAAAGCTGTGAAAGCTGTCAAGTTGACTGATGCATGAGTAGATACTGCCAGCAGATGGCGACGGCGTACAGCAATGTTTATGTCTGTT